CAGAAACACACACACACACACACACACACACACACACACACACACACACACACACACCAAATTAATTAAATAACATTTAAATTTTAAAAGGCAACTATACAATAAGCATTAACAAAATAAACCCTCAGGAGTCGAAAAAATCTATTTCTAGAGCTGCCACATCATGAAACTTGAAACGTCCAGTTGTTAATAGAAAAATCATGATTCATGCAAAGAAAAACAAGCAACTATGGCCCATCCACCGGGTTGGTGCTGGAGGAGAAAGCAATCAGTAGAATCTGTTCCTGAGGAAGCTTGGATTTGGATTTACAATTGAAGACTGTAAATCAACTATTTGAAGTATTTTCAAAGGACTAGAGGAAACCATATCAAAAAACCCTAAAGGAAAATATGAGAATGATCTCTCACTAAATACAGCTTATTACTAAAGAGATACAAACTATAAAGAGGAGCCAAGTAGAAGTCAGGCGTTGTGGTGCACACCTGTAATCCCTGTGACTCTGGAGGCTGAGGGAGGAGGATTGCAAATAAAAGGCCAGCCTCAACAACTTCTCAAAATCCTGTCTCAAAGTAAAATAAAAAAGTCTGGGAGTGTGGCCCAGTGGTGGAGGACTTGCCTAGCATGTGTGAGACCCTGTGTTTGATTATCAGCACCACATGTAAATAAATAAAATAAAGGTTCATCAACAACTAAAAAAATTTTTTTTTAAAAAAAGAGAGAGATGCACAAATTTTGAACTGGGAGGAAACAAGAAGAGAACGTACGTGCCAAGTGATCCAGCTTACATGGAAGAAAATCATACACACCCACCCCACCTCACCCCCACACACATGTATATATTCATATTCATGTTTGGGGCTGGGTACTAGGGATTGAATTAAACCCAAGAGCTTTACCACTGAGCCACATTCCCAGCCCTATTTATTTTTTTATTTTGAGACAGGGTCTTGCTAAATTGCCTAGGGCCTTGCTCTGATGCTGAGGCTGGCTTCTGATCCTCCTGCCTCAGCCTCCTGAACACACTTCATTACAGATGTGCACCACTGTACCCAGCAATAAATACAGTGACATAATTATACAACCTCCCCCTTCCCAGATGAAAGAACCAATTAGAAATTCCAGGGATGAAAAGCACAATAAGTGAAGTGAGAAACTCAGTTCCCAAGAGGGAGCTCAGTAGCAGGTTTGCGTATGCAGAAGAATGAATCAACAAACTTGAACTGAGATGATCCAGTCTAGCACAGTGGTACAAGCCTGTAATCCCAGTGGCTCAGGAGGCTGAGACAGGAGAATTGCGAGTTCAAAGCCAGCCTCAGCAATGGCGAGGCCCTCAGCAGCTCAGTGAGACCCTGTCTCTAAACAAATTCCAAAATAGGGCTGGGGATGTGGCTCAGTGGTTGAGTACCCCTGAGTTCAATCCCTGGTACCAAAAAACAAACAAACAAACAAAAAAGATCTAATCTGAGGAACATTAAAAGAATGAGGAAAACTGAACAGAGGCCAAGACACTATGGGTCAGGGAGTCCCCAAAAGGAGAAGAAAGGGTAGAAAGAGTAGAGAAACAATAGCTGAAAACTTCCCCAATTATCCAACACATCCAGGAAGCCAACGAACCCTTAATAGTGCCAACCAAAGGAACAGTGCCTAGATACATGATAAACAAACTTCTGAAAGACAACATTAAGCTGGGTGTGGTGGCACATGTCTGTAGTCCCAGAGGCTCAGGAGTCCAGGGCAGGAGGATAGCAAGTTTGAGGCCAAGCACAGCAACTTAGTGAGGCCCTAAGCAACTTGGCAAGATCCTGTCTCAAAATATAAAAATACAAAGGGCTGGGGATGTGGCTCAGTAATAAAGCACCCCTGGTTAAACACCCAGTGCCCCCCCAAAAAAAAAAGTTTGGGATGAAGAAAAATGAAAATATGACATACTAAAACTTAAGGAATGAATAAAGAGCAATGCTCTAAGGAAAATTTATAGTTGGAAATGCATTTTTTAAAAAGTTTATTGAGAGGCTGTGGTTGTAGCTAAGTGGTGGAGTGCTTGCCTAACATGTGGGAGGCACTGGGTTCGATTCTCAGCACCGCATACAAATAAATAAAATAAAGGTCCATTGACAACTAAAAAATATATATTTTAAATATTTCTTTTTTAGTTTTAGGTGACACAATATCTTTATTATACATTTATGTGGTGCTGAGGATCGAATCCAGTGCCTCTGCATGCTAGGTGAGCACTCTATCACTGAGTAACAAAAACATTACTATGAATAATTGTATGCCAACTAGATAACAACAAAAAAAAAATAGAAAAATGCCTAGAAGCACATAAACTACCAAAACTGACACCAGAAGAACTAGGAAATACAAATAGACTCATAAGTAAGGAGTTTTAGTAACAAAAATAATTTTTAAACTTCCAAAGAAGAAAAGTTCAAGACCAGATGGCTTCATTGGTGAATTCTGCCAATCTTTTTAAGAAATGACAACAATCCATCTCAAATTCTCTTAAAAAAATAGAAGAGAGAGGTGCTGGTCATGGTGGCAACTGGTGGCAATTCCTAACTCATTCTATAAGGCCAGTACTTTCTCAAAGACATCACAAAAGAAATTCACAGACTAGTATTTTTTATTAATATATCTGGGATAATCCTCAACAAAATACTGGAACTTATCCTGGCAATATGCACCGTGACCAAGTGGGAATTATCCTATGAAAGTCAACGTATTGCCGGGGGGAGTGACGCAGGCCTGTAATCCTCGGAAGGCTGAGACCCGAGGATCATGAATTCAAAGCCAGCCTCAGAAACAGCCAGGTGCTCAGCAGCTCAGTGAGACCCTGTCTCTAAATAAAATACAAAATAGGGCTGGGGGTGTGGCTCAGTGGCCCAGTGCCCCTGAATTCAAGTCCCAGTATGAAAAAAAAAAAAAAACAGCTGGAGTGTGTCTGGGTCACTGGATTCAATCCCTGGTAATAAAAACATTATTATGATGTGTCCATGGAGAAAAAGCATTTAATGAAATCCAACCACTTTCATTAGGAAAAAACCCAACAAGCTGAGAATGGCAGAGAACTTCTTCACGTTGATGAAAGGAATATGAATAGGCTCCTTCGTAAGTAAAGAGATTTAGTAATAAAGATAATTTTAAAACTTCCAAAGAAGAATCTTTTGAGGATTCTACAAAACCTCACAAAGTACAGTGGTTTAAAGTATGATTGTAAATTCTTTGACATTCCTTTGGAGTCTTAGTCCCCTCACTTGAATGTGCTGGACTAGGTGACTCGGGTCACGTAAGTAAAGTCAAGCAAAAGTGGTGAAGTAGGGCTGGGGATATAGCTCAGTTGGTAGAGTGCTTGCCTTGCATGCACAAGGCCATGGGTTCAATCCCCAGCACCCTCCTACATACACACACACAAAGTGGTAAGTTTATAACTTAAAAGAAATGATGCATTCATAAGAGGAACTGTGGGTCCTGCTTGCTGTGTCTTGCATGGAGAAATCACAGCTGGCATGTCAGAAACAGCCACTATGGAGAAACCAGTGTCCTGAGGAAGTGAGGCCTCCACCCAAAAGGCAGGAAGGAACTGAAACCTCCCCAAGGGCCCTGGGAGGGCACTATCTCTCCAGCCTCAATCAAACCTTCCCATGACTCTACCAGAATCTTAATTGTAACCTCAACACCCCCCTGGAACTTCTCAACTAAACACACTCCAGGTGTGTTGATTTATGTCTGGGGGGTATTTGTCTCACAGCAGTAGCTAACCAGTACAGAGCGTCTTTCTAAACTGAAGACTCAGAACACTCCTGTGCGTAACTGTTCTGGCGACCTAGGGAACAGGTCCTGGTTCAACTCATTTCTGCAGCCCACTGGCTGTACAGCCTCAGGGAGGGGACTTCACCTCCCTGTGCTTCTGTTTCCCAACCTGTAAAACGGAGATGCGACTAACAGCTACTTTTGGAGAATTGCTCCTGCGATGAAGGTGGGCTGGCCTGAAGGCCCTTGCCAGTACTTCTGCAGCGGCAGACCCTGGATGTGGGGTGCAGCTCTGCTGGCAGAGGGAGGGGAGTGGGAAAGGCCGATCCCTCCTGCTCGGCTGAGAAGCACACAGTACGTTGGGGAGCGAGAGTCCTGGGGACAAGTTCCTCCTTGGCCACCCATGCGCTGTCCGACTCTCAGCTCTGCAGTTCTGTTAACCTCTCCCATAAAATGGGAATAATGACAGCTTGATGGCATCGGGGTCAATGACTCAATAGATTGGTAGCCAAGCACAGTGACTAGTGTTGGCCCTTAAAAATGACAATGGACAGGACCTATAGCAGGGGGCCTTGATGACATGGACCCTCACAGTGGCCACAGGGAAATATGCAGATTGCAAGACAGACCCTGAGCAGAGGTCCAAAGATCGACCCTGTCAGTCTTTGCCACTGATTAATCCTGAGCTTCCAAACAGCAGCCTGCAGCCCCTGAGGGGGTGTAGCCAAGGTGAGAGTCATCCTTCCAGTTTTACCTGTGTCCCTCCGGCCTGGACTCCTCTCTCAGCCAGCGTCTCCATGGCCTCCTGGCTCCCAGGGCCCTCTCTGGGTCTCTGTCCCCCTCTCACACCCTCCTCCCCACCTTCTCCAGCTTTCTCTCTTGATGCAGCTCAGTCCTGGGCAGGGGCCAGTGTCTGCTCTTGTCCCCCTTCTCTCTCCCTTGCCCTTACCCCAACCCCAGGCGGCTGTCTTTACTGTTTCCATTTTGAGAGGAGGAACCTGCTGGTGCTCCCGCAGCCACAGAAGCTCACCACGCCTCAGGCCTTGCTCTGGCTGCCCAGGGCCCTTTCTCAGGCGTCACCAGCCACCGGGGGACATGACTCAGAATAGCTCTGGTGGGAGGCAGACAGCTGCAGTGCTGCCGAGAGAGGCTCCTGAGGCAGGAGGCAGAGCTGCTCCCACTGGGGGAGGAGAAGTCTCCCGTGGGCATCTCCTTGTCCTCCTTCCCGCACCCTTGCCTGACCTCCTCCCTGGCCTCCTCCCTAGCCTCCCTACCTTCCCTCCAAAGGCCACAGAGGAGCCTCAGGGAAGGAGAGGATTCCAGCATAGCCTCGTGCCCAGCCCAGCCGCCTTCCCCCATGAACCCACATGGCTCCCCATCATCTGTGTGGCCAGTGCCCTCCCCGCTGTCCCTCTAGCTTGTCTCTCTGACATGCTACACTCCGGCCTGGGATCTGCTCTGCTCTTTTTTTTTCTCTCTTTCTTCCTTTCTTGTGTGTGTGTGTGTGTGTGTGTGTGTGTGTGTGTGTGTGTGCAGATGTGGGGGCTGGGAATTGAGCCCAGGGCCTTGGGCGTGCTAGACGAGCTCTCTTCTGCTGAGCCACATCCCTAGCCCCTCTCTTTTCCTTTTCCTTATTTATTTACTTACTAATTTAATATTCCTTCTGGTTCTGCAGGTGGAACCCAGGGGCACTTTGCCACTGAGCTACTACCTATATCCCCAGCTCTTTTTATTTTTAATTTTGAGACAGGGCTTTGCTAAATTGCCCAGGCTGGCCTCAAGTCTCAGCCTCCTGAGGAGGCATTGGGCCTGTAGGCATGCACCACCATACCTGGCTCGGCGGGCACATCTTGGGCATTCAAGAAATATTTGTTTCTTGCAGTGCCAGAACAAATGCAGCATCTCCATCTTACAGATGAGGAAATGTCAGCTCCCAGAACTAGAAAGTGCTCCAGTAAATGTGAGCAATAACCGTGATCCTGATCCTGCTATGTAAATGCAATTCTTAGTGCCTGTGTGGAGCCAGCCAAGCCTGGCCCAGGAATGGGGTAGAGGGAGGCAGAGTTCAAGGTCTAAGTTGTGGCTCTCCATGCTCCTGTCCGGAATTCCCTAATTACCCTCAACTTGCTCACCTCTCCGTTTTGACCCAGTTCTCAGGCCCTAACCCTGTAGAGAACTCCTACTCCACTCTGCGTGGCCTCCTCCAGGACGCCTTCCCTGAGACCTCCAGCCTGGTTTGGGGGTTCCTTCGCTGGGATCCCCTCCATTACAGAATATATCGCCCTGGTCTGGGTCTGTCCCCCCACACCCATCTGGAAGCTCTCTAAGGGCAGGGTCTGGTGTGATGCTTAGCTATGACTCCAGCCTCACTTGGGACATTGCAAAGTGACCCAATGCACTCAAGACCACTCCCAGATTCACGCTGGCTGTCGGAGGAGGCGGCCGTGGCTCCACACCAAGAACACCTGTTCCCCTCCTCAGCATTTCCTGCCACCAGGGCCAGGACACTGGTGTGCCCCTGCCAGAGTCCCTCACCAGAAGTTCCGTGATGTCCGGGTCATCTGGAGCCCAAGGTGTGGTGGGGGAGGCAGGGGGCCCGGGCAGCGCCAGTGGACCGCTGTCTTCCGTGGTCGAGTCTGTCCCCGAGGAGTCGGTGGGCTCCACCGCGGCCAGGTTGAGCAATGACACATTGGTGCAGGCCGAGGACCGTTTGAGGTTCAGGCACCAGTGCATGGGCTCATGGGACATCCGGGGTTCCACCCTGAGGAGGAGCAGCAGGCAGGGGATGGCTGAGGATGCGCCCCAGGGGCCGCTAGCCTGCCTGCCGCCTGCAGGGCCCCTTCACTCTCCACTCCCTTCTCCGCCCTCTGCCTGCATCCATCCCTTGCCGCCACCTGTTTTCTTTCCCCTTCACCCTTGCCACCTGCTTTCTTCAGACCCTTCCCTAGACTCCTCTCTTCTCTTGACTCTTCCCTCCCCCATGCCAGTCCAATACTGATTTTCCCCTGCTACTGGGAATGGAATGCAGGGGTGCGTGACCACATCCCCAGCTCTTTTTTTTTCTTTTGGGACAGGGTCTCCTTAAGTTGCTTAGGGCTTTGCTAAATTGCTGACGCTGGCCTTGAATTTTGTGATCCTCCTTCCTTAGCCTCCCAGGGATGACAGAATTACTGCCACCACCAGCTCAGCCCACTATGTCTTGCTCTCTGCCTCCCTCTGTCTCCTCCTTTCCCTCTTGCCTGTCCCCCCACCCCCTCCTCTTCTCCTCTGCCCCCTCCTCTCTAGCACCCGCAGTGGGACTTGTGCCCTGTTGGAGGCAGGGCCGGCACTAGGATCATGCACAATAGGGTGCGTCAAACCCACCCGTGGAACGACACGGCTTTCTTTTTCTTCGTGATCCCCTTGGCTGGGTTGGTCACCCCCCCGGGAGCCTCTGGGACCAGCTGGGATCGGCTCTCGACACCTGCAGGGGGGTCTCCGGCCTCATGGATCTCCTTGGACTGCCAGATCGTCTTCACAACCACACTCGCCATGGCATCGGAGGCCTGCTCCCAGGGGGAGACTCACCACCTACTCTGACCACTGGCCCTCAGAGTCCCCTGTCCCCTCGGCCTGCCTCACAAAGGACTCAACCACTGGGCCCCAGCGGGGGGCAGGGAGTACGGAGAGCTGCATCCCCAAGGCATCCCCTAGGAGGTCACAGTGGACTCTTCTGGTCCAGGATTCTAGATCTACAGCAGATGGCACTCCTCAACCCGGTCCAGAATGCTGCCTTTAAGAAAGGATCTCCACAAAGGCTGAGCCGCAGTCAGGACACGCATGTTGAAGTGTCTGGGGTTGCGTCAGTTTCCTGAGACTGCAGGGACACAGCGCCAGGCCCAGGGCCTTAAAGCACAGATGTTTACCAGGTCTAGAGGCCAGAAGTCCAAGATCAAGTGTGGGTAGGATGGTTCCCTCTGAGGACTGTGGGCCTCAGCTCCAGGCCTCTCTCCTCTCCTAGCTTCTGATGGCTTCAGTCACTCCCTGGCTTGCAGACAGACATCTTCTCCCCATATCCTCACGTGACCGTCTCTCTGCCTGTCCGTGTCCAAATCACAGCCCCTTCCTCCTTTTTTGTGGTACTAGGAATCAAACCCTGGGTCTTTTTCTCTCTCTTTTTTTTTTTTTCCGGTACCAGAAATTGAACTCAGGGGCACTTGACCACTGAGCCACATGCCCAGCCCTATTTTGTATTCTTTTTTAGAGACAGGGTCTCACTGAGTTGCTTGGCGCCTTGCCTTTGTTGAAGCTGGCTTTGAACTCGCCATCCTCCTGTCTCAGCCTCCCAAGCCACTGGGATTACAGGCTTGTGCCACTGCACCTGGCTCAAACCCTAGGTCTCATACAGGCTGGTCAGGTATACTTCTACCACTGAGCTACAGAGCTACATCCCTAGGTTTTTTTGTTTGTTTGTTTTCGTTTATTTATTTGGTACTATGGATTAAACACAAGGGTACTTGACCACTGTTCTACATTTCTGGTCCTTTTTATTATGTATTTTGAGACAGGGTCTCACTAAGTTACCGAGGGCCTTACTACATTGCTGAGCTGGCCTTGAACTTGTGATATTCTTGTCTCAGCTTCCTGACTTGCTTATACCATCACGCCCAGCTCCCCTTTTTTAATGGCTCCAGTGAGTTGGGTTCAGGCCAGCTCAAATGACCTCACCTTAACTTGACCATCAGCAAAAATTCATTTCCAAACAAAGTCACATCCTCAAATGCTGGAGGCTGGAATTTCAATGACCTTTTAAGAGATGCAGCTCAACTCATGACAGAGGTAAAGGATATTGATATCCACAATTGGCATTTTTTTTTTTTTTTGGCAGAGTCCTTGCCAAATTGCCCAGGCTGGCCTTGAACTTAGGACCCTCCTGCCTCAGCTTCCTGAGTCCTTGGGATTCCAGGTTTCTGCCACTGCACTTGATCACAATTCATAAATGTGTGACAAAGCAAGTAGAGCGGTCCTCCATTACCCATGGAGGATGGATTCCAAAATTCCCCACAGATATGAAAGTCTGTGGATGCTCAAGTCTCTTACATAAAATGGCACATATCTGGGCACAATGGTTCATGCTTGTAATCCCAGTGACTCAGGAGGCTGAGGCAGGGGGATTGTGAGTTTGAGGCCAGCCTCAGCAAAAGCAAAGTGCTAAGCAACTGAGTGAGATCCTGTCTGTAAATAAGATACAAAATAGAGCTGGGGATTTGGAAATTTGGCTCAGTGATCAAGTGCCCCTGGAAGAAGAAGAAGAAGAAGAAGAAGAAGAAGAAGA